CTAAACTGCCATGTTACTAAAAAAACAACACATACCTATTACAGTTTTCAAATGGTTTGAATTACTCAATGATGATGATTTTCATCAATACATAACAGCAATGACCAGGAAACTCTAACAAGCTACCTCTTCTAGTACTGCTAAGAATCAAACAAGATGTCTCATCTGGTACCACATGGATTTTCTTGCTATAAAGAGCTTGTAATGGGGTTTAGTTTGAATTAACTGGTACGATACCATAACCTGACTCTCTTTGAAAATGTGAAACTGAGAGCCCCTTGTTTAAGTGATGAAAATGAACACGGTGCCAAAGAGGTATTTTTTTTCACAAATCACCAAGCAACAAAGGTTTTGACACTGTCACAAGGTTATCAAAAAAATAAACCCCTTTAGGGGTGTATGTGCATACGTATCATGCAGTAACATTAATACAATAAGCACAGATACAATGTAACTTGATTTCTAACATCATGAATGTTGAAAGCACTTTTAAATTATTATTGCCACACTGTGATAAAGTTTGACTAGTGGGTATTTCAAACCTGTGAAACTGAGTGCAACTTGCATGAGCTAGATTGAAATGAATACAAGTAGGGCTTGTGAGCACTACAAACTTCTATTCCATGAGATTTATCCATAGTGTAAAAGTATTTATCACTTGGGAAACAACAAGTCTGTGTTATCAATACTTTAATACAATATCTGTGCAATCCAAGTGTTTTTTTCACTGACAAACAAGATGTCTGTGGCCCAAATATTTTAGACTGAAGAATAACATAAATGTTTATGGACTAAGAAATGAAGTTTATAAAATTAATCTTTTTGAACTCAGGAACAAGGAATGTTCAGTTTGTTTGTGCAACACTATAAAAGGACTACCTGCACTACCATCTGTAACTTTAAAATGATATACTAGAGGGAAGGTCAACAACACTTACTGCTAACCCTTAGCTATTCTTCATCAAATAGTGGGATTTGATTATAATACACCCACAGCCCTAAAGTACAGATCGTGAACCATGTACCCTTGGATCCACAGTCGGTCGTGCTAACCATTTGGTCATGCCTGGCACTAGAACAAGAGGGCTGAGAAACAAGTCTGTGGCCTGAAGATTTTTAAGATATATAAAACTACTATAAAGTATGTATCATAGTACAGTGTGAAACAAAACACGGTTTAAAATCTTAAATGTTTATATACTTTCAATGGACATACAATTAACCACTGTGGTTGACTTTGGTAGCTTAAGGATATAAGCTACACTTTAAACACAATTTTACTGAATTTTGACTAACATTATTCTGGAAGTTTTCTTTTTTCAATAAATGGTAAATAAGAAATAAATTAAACCATATGTTATATATATATATAAACTTAATGTGCACTAACAATTAATTATACATTACACAAGTAAGTTCAATTGTAAGCAATAACCCCCTCTTTTAACGATAATAAGTAGGTTGTTTACAAACATCAGGGTATGGTTGGACATCAAAAGCTTATTACAATAAACAAGGCACTGATATTCTAAATACATAAACATAAAAATTACTATAGTACAATACAATAAAACAATATACTTAAAAGAAATTTCAAAAAAAAAAGTAAACAGTATTTTTACTGTAAACGCTGCCTGGTACAGAGCAGACACTCAAGTCACTTTAGTACTGTGATAACTGCTAAGTTTCGAGTATGTTTCCACACATACAGAGAAATATTCTTCTTATTATTATCATTATAAGTTGAAGACATTATCCAACAAAATGAGAACAAACAGAAGGCAACAAGAATAAATTTTGTTTGTTTGTTGTTAAGCACAAAGCTACACAATAGACTATCTGTGCTGTACCCACCACAGGTATGGAATTCAGTTTTTAGTGTTACAAGCCTTCAGACTCACCACTGAGTTGATGGGAGGCTAACACTGAATAAAAGGAGAACAACTGAAAGCAACACCCAAAGAAAAAAGCCAAGTTTGGTTAATCAGACATCAACAGTTGTCATGTTTTTATTTCTTGTAGAGGTGAAAAAGATTTTAGTTTATTTCAAAAATAAAATATAAATTATAAAATCCAAAGTCACCAGATAGATGTTCAATGACAAAGAATGTAGAGTATTCAAAAGATAAAGCATGAAATATAGCAATGGTCAGTGTAGAATGTCCAGTTATACCCCCATCCCCACCAAATTGTTCCATCAAATCTGCATAAACCTGATCATTTAAACTGAAAAGGTCAAGTATGACTTTAAAAATTATCCCTAGTGAGAAAAAAGTTAAATTTTTTCCTTTGATGTTTCCTTTTAATAACATTAAATATTCAGAAGACACAGACACACAAGCTGCTTGTAAATAACTAGTGTATTTAATGATACAACCAACTAACATTGGCTAATCCGTGATATTAATTACACTGGTGGATGGATGTGAATTCTGTATAAATATAGTTGTCCCATTTTTGGAAGTTGTTAGTTGACAGTTTTATTTCATGTACCAATAACAGTAATAAATGAGTAAGTCCTTAGGCTTATTGATACATGAAATTTGGTAAAATTAGTTATATGAGACAGAATTCCCAGCAAGAAACAAGCTGCATGTAAACAGAGCATACAAAGGATAGTTTCTATTCTGTGTAGAAATGCATTTAACCACATCTTTTAAAACGTATCAGTGTTCAGTAAAACCAAACACAACATAATACCCTCATTTACATAAGTCTTCAAGTGATACAAGTACATAAAAACCAGTGATGAAATAAAAAAATATATAACAATACTGATGTTTATTGAAACTCAGAGGTGAACGGTTTCTAAGTTACTAAAGGGGGAGGGGTTACTAAGTTTTAATATCTAGCACTGGAGAAACAACAATGTACATAAATTGAAAAGGCAAAGAATACACCACTTAAGATTGGAACAGAGGATCATTTAATAAAAAGGATAAATTGTAAATATTCTTTGACTACAAATGACAAAATGTCATTGATTTCACAACAAATGCTGGTTTTATATTTAGTCATTAGTGCTGACTTTGTGTTAGGCTTCAAAAAACTGGTGTATCTATACACACAAATAACTTCAACACAGAATTCTATGATTACAGGCGATGTGTTTAATGAAAAAATAACCCATAAATTTTCATAACATCTTACAATTATAACTAATTATAAATAGCAAGCTATTTTAAATTTTCATTACAGGCAACCAGTGATAGAAAACAGCCAAAAAATAGACAATAAATGTAAAGTACCTTAGCTAAAGGTGAAATAATAAAAAAATTGATGTTGCACTCTTATGCTGACCTTGTTTTATAATATACTATTGTGCAAAACATGCCTAATTTACATGTACTTCAACCTTCTTCGTTTGACAAAACAATAAAAATTACAAATAACTACAAAGCTATTTACATATGATCAAAGCAGTACTTTAAAATACTAATTTCCAGATTAGACATTCCCCAGGTGGCCATACGTAAAATGTAACTCCTATTTTTTTCTTGTTGTTATTGACAAGAGAAGAAAGTTGCATATACTGGCCCAAAAAGTACACCAGAACACACATACCAAAAACATCTAAACATTCACATACAAAAAAAACACTAATCAGTCAGCTCAATTGAATATAATTTCAATAGAGAAACTTCACTTATTTAGCTTACAACAAGAAAAACTCAGTCTGTTAAGTTAGCTTTTATCTTCAACCAATCAGATTTACATAAAAACAACCTCTTATTTTTCAGTACGAGTTCGGTTCTAGAAACGTCAACAGAATCAAAAATGCTCCAAGAAAAAAAAAACTTAAACACATTTTATCAGGAAACATGTTTTACTTTTAAATTTTACATAAATAAATCTTATGTGTGTTTACAAAGTAGCCAGAAGAACTTCAGTTATCATTGGGATATAATGCTTTTGTTCTTTCATAAATCTCACTTCAAATAAAAAGCACTGACATTTTTCATAAAAATCTATCATTTTTAAAAATAAAACCAGGCTTGAAATTTTTACAAGTATAAATTGATACACAACTTTTTTCAATTCAAAGATAATGCAGGAACAGTTCACAAAAGTGATATGTTACAAAAGTACAGTAATGATCCTTGAGGTTTTCTTGCATCAATTACTACCAGTATTTGACTTCAAGACTTATTCTCTGATTTAGAAAATTTCTGTTATTCATTACACTTTAGTAAAAAAAAAAAAACTTTAACCCAGTAATATTAAGGCATGAGGATTTCACAGTTAACAGTAAATAGTGTTTTTTTTTGTCAATATAGTAACTTAAATCAACAATCAAATGAAGTTTTCAAGATTGAATTGAGTTTATATATCCTCAAACAATTCTACTCACCTGTATAAGTATGGCTGCCTACTAGAACTAGCTGTAAAAATACACTGACAAAAGCACTTGAAGTTTTAAACAGCAATACATGTTTCTGTAATATCAACATTACATTGTAGTTAAATAATACAAAGGATTGCTTACACAAATCTCTGTACTTGAAAACAACTACAACAAATATTAACCTAGCATAGTCTAATTTTTGCATCATGATGAAATTTCAAGGTTGTGTTTTAAACATACATCAGTTTTTGGCTAATTAAATTGAGTATCTAGCTACTACTATACCCAATCCTTTATGCAAGTCCATTCTCAATATTGAAAAAAATTCAAACTCTTTCCAAGCAAACTAATATTGTTTTAACATTTATGTTTCTTCAGTAAAAATGCATCTGGGTCTAATAGTAACAGTTTCACAAATTTCTATTTTAAAAAGAACAGCATGTATCATACTGGTCCCATTTTTTAAATTCTCTAAAGTGTTTGAGCTACTGAGAAGTAGTCAGTTTTGGTTTAGTAGCATATAGCCAAATCAATATTCTTATACGGTCAGAGTGGTTAATATATATATATTTCTATCTGGGAATGTCCAATGATGCATTAGTTTTATTTCTTAGTTTTCATCTAAAGATAAAATGGATAGCAATTTTAAGAAAAGTTTTTTTTTTACCAAACTGTCCCTAACATAGTGATTTATGCATATAGAAACTTTACATTTTCATAAGGTAGAGCAAACCATTTAATGATATTACACATATAACAATACAATTAGGGAAAAACTAATATACGTGGAAATAATTATGTTTTTAATTACATAACAGCAAGTTTCAAAAAGTTTTTCTTGTTCACTTATCTTAAAGCAAACTAAAATTAATTTATTTGCAAGTCCATCCCGCCCACCCACGAAGGCACACATCACAAAAACCAATAGGAAAGTCTTTACGTGTACACTGACTAACAATGAATACAATGAAATCCTAATACATAAAAGAAATCTAATTCAAGAAAATAACTGTAAATATGGAACATGTATTTGAACATTTGCTGGGACCAAACACCAATGGACTAACTGAAGACAGTGTTTCGACAAAAAGTACCCATTACTACCTGACATATGTTTAAAACCAGGTTGAATTTCTTTAAATTTCCTGGAACAAATATGAAATAGTCCTAGTCTGCTCACCAGTCTGATAGTCACTAACAGTGTCTTCTATGTTCACTCCTATCACAATAAGCAGTCAGCTGCTCCCTCTGTCACTCTGCTGGCTTGCTCCTTCTTCGGGGACTCCTCCGACAGCCCAAGGTCTGAAGTATGAAGAACAACCAGTCCATCAAAGGAACCCAGACATTTCTGGCACTGCTCTATCCGGCAGGCCTGAACTGAACAGTTTTTGATGTGTTTCTCTTTAATGTGATTAAAAATGTCACCAACCTCTATTCCACAGTCTCCACACTTCTGCTTGGCATGGCCATCTTCATTTGGGGTTTTTTCCTCGGCTACTACTGATGCACCATCTCTCGTTTTCCCACTTCCTGCTCCTATTCTCATTGGTGTTGCCGGTTTCCTTGACTTGGATCTTGGGGTAGCCTTTAAGGTTCCTGTCTTGGTGCTACTGTCTCCAGCAAACTTCTTGGCAGGCTGGTTACTGGAAACATCATCAGCATGTCTCTTCACTGAGCCACTGTGTACAACATAAACATGATTTTCAAATAGTTTATACAGATTAAATGTTGCCGTACAAACTGTGCATTTGTATGACAGATGTGCAGGTTTTAATGTAATCTTGTGAACTTGATTCATGTGAGCAACCAGCTTACACACGTACACCCGTCCACAGATAGTACATCGACCCGCATCCTGGTTCTTCTGTGCCAGTTCTTGCATGTTAGAAGTCACAAGCCCATGGGACCCTAGCAAGTGTCGTTCAAGTCCCTGGTCTGTAAAGAACCGCCACTGACACTTCTGACAATTAAGGGGAGGTCTGTTTTGAAGCATTTTTGGATGGATTTTCACCTTATGAATTAACTGCATGTGATTTCTTAGCTGTTCCTGATCTTTGATATAACCATCACAGATTTCACAGATAACAAAGCTATTACTAGGTAGTATTGTTTCTCCTGGTGCTGACTTCCCACTGCTGGGTAGGAAGGGGCCTTGTAGTCTGGGTGGTGGTGGCATTCCTGTCTTCAACAGGCTTTTGGTGCTGTTGGTAACGATATGAGTTCCTCCTCCTGAGGAAGCCACATTTGTAAAGAGGGCAACTGGCTGAGGACCCGAATCATCACATACATTAGATATTTTGGTAACTGGTCTGCAACTAGTGGCCGAGTTACTGGTACTGAAAACAGGAAGAACCTTGCCACCTCTAACTACCTGATAAATCTGATTAGTGGGAACAGTCAGAGGAACCTGGGTGGATGGGGGGGTCATATGGGCATTGGTAGTTGGATGATGAATTCTATTATTGGAGACACTACCTGGGGCTCTCCTGAAAGCTCTTATCTGTGGTCTTGGTTGAACAGCTGTATTATCTGATAGGTGATGATACAATGATTGATTATATGGTAACATACTAGCAGGAGCAAGGGGTCTGGGAACACTGGCCTGATGCTTCTGAGCACTAGCATTATTTCTGTGACTCCCTCTAGAAGGACGTCCCGGTCGCCTCGCTGTTGCTGCAGCCACCTCTGCCAGCTGACGGTCGTACAAGTATGCTTTAATGTCCATTATGGTTATAGGTTTTGATGTTTGTGCTGGCATGTCTAGTTCTGTAACTTGATTCCTGCCCAAAACAAAAAATTTCTGACACCTGTTCATGTGACTGTTTAACTTCTGCTTCTGATTTGTGTCAAAAGGACAGAAAGGACACTCATGAAAATGAGAAGGAATTGGTAGCTGACCCATTTTTCCATGTTCTGCTTCCATATGAAAAATAATTGCTTTTGGGTCTCTTGTGCAAAACTCACAGAAATGACATCCAAATTCCCTGCGTGCTGTCACATATGGAATTACACTGTGACCATCAAACACAATGGAAGATTCTGATTTAAATTCACAAAAATTGCACTTATAATTTTGGAAAACAAATGGTTCATTGGCTTTTTTAGTTTGCAAATAGTCCATTTTCCTGATAAGTAATTCATTTTCTAGTTGTTGCTTTTTTCCCTCTTTTCTTATGTGTCGCTCTTTGGACTTCACCAAATCTTTCTGATACCACTCTTGAACTCGACTCAAACCTATAGCAGTGAGAAAACCAAGCACATTGCTGGTAAACAGCTCTTTATTTTCCTCTTGCAGTTTGTTTTCATTACCTGAACATGTTTCTGTAGTCTTTTTGGTATCTTTTAGACTTTTCTCAGTTTGATTTTCATCTGATGACTTATGACACACATTTGTTTCCTTTGTAACTTTATCCATACTTTCAGTTGTATTTTCTGCTTTCTTTTGACAGTCTGAGATTTTTTCAGTTTCTTTTCTTTCCTCCTCTGTATTCTCAGTTTTATTTTCTGATGATTTATCTACTGTAAATTTTGAAATTTCTTTATCTTTCGGGTCATCTTCCAGATCTTCAGATTTTAATTTTGCACTATCTACTGAGGACTTTACACATTTGTCTTTCACATCTTTGGTACCTTCATTCTTGTCTTTTGCATTTTCTTCCACTTTTTCAATTTTGTTTTGAGACTCTTCATTGAATTCTGGACATTTAACAAAAACTTTGTCAGAATCTTTCAATTCTTCATTTTTCTTAGTTCTGTCTTCCAATTTTTCACTGACAACAGACAAACCATCATCATTCTTGACATCTTTATTTAGCTTACTCTCATCCTGAAGTGTTACTTTGGAAGGAAACTTATCTTTCTTTTTCAACAGTAAAGGTGTCACCATTGATGGACATTCCAGTAATGCCTCATCTTCACACAGTCTGAAGTTGTAGCTGTCAGGCAATTTCACAGGAATAAATTTACCAATGTTTACTTCACCTTTCAAGATGTCTGGAAATTTGGCTTCTTGGAGTATTTTCTCTACCATTTCATCTGTAACTACACTACCACATATAGTTTCCAACAAAGGAGGAAGAGGCTGTTCTTTATACTTATCTTGAGGGATCTCAGGGGGTTTTTCTTTTGGCTTTTCCTTAGGTTTATCTCGTGACTTCTCCTGGATAGGCTTTGCCAATACTGACTTATGAAGTTCATTTTTACTAGATGGTACAATAGATATGGTTAGGTCTTTTAAAAGTCCAGATTTCAAAATATCTGGTATATCTGTTATAGATTCATTGCGTTTTTCTATTTTATTTTTTTGTTTGACACGAGTACTAGAACTTTCAAAGCCATTACTTTTACTATGTGTCTTCACTGGAAATGTGCTAGCTTCAGGCTCATTACTTTTCCTATTTTGTGATTTGCCACCAGCCTTTTCATATTGTGATGTCTGGTTTTTGAAAAGCTGACTAGAATTTTTTGATAATGATAGATTATTAGCTTCTACGTCTACAGGTTTCACCACTAAACCCTTTGGTGTTTTGATAAGTTCCTCAAAACCACTTTCTTTATTTTCATTAATACATTGTTCATCTTGTGGTTCTTCCTTCTTAGCTTTTTCCACAACTGTACTAGTATGGTCACAATGTTCTTCAAGTTTTAAACTGTCAACACTTTCACCATGCTTCAAACTACTGCTAAAATTCTTTTGGTTCATTTCTCTAATGTCTCTTTCATCTTTGTTTACCTCTATAGATTCAAGATTTTTTTTTAACTCATAGTTGTCACCACCATCTTTTTCTTGGTTGTCACCAGTCTTCTTTTCACACTCAGGTGATTTTTGTTCAACATTTTTACTTTCTTCACTTGAACTATCAGAAGGTTTTAGTAATTCATCAGTTTCTTGTGTAGAATCCTTACTAAAATTACCATCATGAGGTGAAGTTATTTTTTTATCAATGTCAGAATTTGGTGTAGCTTCATGTGCAGGGCTCTGTCCTTTGTTGGAATGTTCTTCTTCACTTGGTTCACTTTTTGCTAAGTAGTCATTCACAAGAGACTCACAATCTACTTTTCCTGATAAAGTGGTATTTTTTACATCATTACTAGGGCATGCAGGATTCTGTCTTAATTTATGTTCTTCAGAATCTACATTAGTGTTCTTAAGAGATTTACATATATTCTCTGTAGTTCTATGAACATTCTCCTCTTTAACAATGTCTTTTGCTTCATTGGCTTCAGAGCTTACCAATATGGTACAGTTAGTTTTATCATTATCTGAAACCAAGTTCAATTCATCACCAACTTTTGACAGTTTCTGAGAATACTGTTCATTTTTCAAACCTTGCAGACTATTACAAGAAGTGTTTTGATTCTCCACTTTACCAATCCACTCACATTCCAAATTTGTATTATTATTTTCTTTCCTTTCTTCTACAGGAATATTGGTGTTGTCACAAGACTGATTATTACTAGTTTTGGATTCATCCGGGGGCACTCCATTAATGAGTGAAACATGAGGGAACTTACCAAGAGTCGACTCTTTAGGAAAATTTTGATTGCTTTCTGTAGAACCTCCCAAATTCATATTGTCACAAGGATTGTTTGTTGCATCTTCTTTTACGTGCCACCTGTCATCAGGCTGAAAATCAATATAAGGTCGCACAACTTTTTCTTGTAACTGCTCATCCATTATTGATCCTGTCTTACAACCACATCCTTCCTAATACACCTGAAATGAATATGAGAGGACATAAGAAGACTGATTAAATACAATTAACAAGTAACTTTAGGATCAGAAAAGAAACCCAATCACTTTTGGAAGGAGGCTTTTCCTTCATCAGGAATAATGACAAATAATCATTGTAAACATAACGATCAACTATGTAGTTTTTGTACCAGAAGCAATATGTCACGAGTTCCTAAGAATATTACCAAAATTGTGAAACAGCATTGAGTGTGTGAGTGTAAGCAACAGGAAAAAGTAGCAAAGAAATAAAAATGCTTTACAAAAATGTGGTTGTTCAAGAAGGTATATCCATAATAATTGGGAGATTTATCAACAAAATTACTTAATGATACAGGAACTGGAAGATAAGAGCTGGGTGATTTAATCAATTATATAGATTAGTGTCATATAAACTAGTCAATTAATCAAAATTCAGATTATATCAATTATCATAAAAATAATCAACTAATTGATATTTGTTTTTGATTATTCCAAAGACTGATTAATCAAAATTAGGATTATATCAATTGTCACAAAAAACAATCAACTAATAACATAATTTTTTGGGACAACATGGGACCTATTGGTCCATCTCGGATGTCCCATCCTCTAATCTAAACTAACAATAAATATTTTTTTTTAAATCTTAAAAGAGCCTTTATCATTCATATACTTATCAAGATTTTTCTTAAACTCACTTCAATTTACTGCCTCCACAACATCTGAAGGCAACCCTTTCCAAACACCAACCACCCTGTTAAAAAATGAAACTGACTAAGCTGGAGATGACTCCTACCCCTGTCAAAACTTATATTTGTATCCCCTAGTCCTACTATTCTCACTGCTAAGTATGAAAAAGATTATGCATTAACACTATCAATTCCCTTTACAATCTTAAACACCTCTTTCAATTCTTCATTTTTTTTCAAAAGAAAACAATTTGAAAGATTTCAACCTCTCCTCATATGACAACCCCTCAGGCACCATTCTAGTAACCCTCATCTGAACCCTTTCCAAGATCAGTCCTTCCTAAAGCAAGAAGCCCAAGACTGATCACAATATTTCAAATGTGGCCTAACCAGTGATCTATGAATGAAATTATAACCTCTTTAGACTTGCCACCAAACTTGCTTGCCTCATCATGGTTATAACAAAGCTATTTGCCACTGGCTCTTAATTTTGAACTGCTGACTGACTATATTGGAGGGTAAATGACTTGAAGCACTTGCCACCAACATTTTTTGTTGTTGTTGAATTGTTGACTGGAAGGAAGGCAAAATTCTCTAACAGTTATAATTTATCTTTTAATTTTACATTTAAGATAATAATCTAATTTACTTAACATGGTTTAGTATCTTATTAAAAACCTAGAATCAAGATAAACAGCATCCATATGGCTTTCCTCAAGGAAAAACCTTTCTAAAACCATGCTAAAAGCTATTTTTTATTTCTATTCCCATTAGGTCCCAAATAACACATCAACAACTTAAAAGGAAATATCAAAATGTATTTTACTATATTTTTTCATTTCATACTGAAATTTCGAATTTCCACCCACTATCAAGACAACATAAAACTCTCACATCAATCTATGTGATGTATAATTTTTTTACAGAGGTTTCCCCACTGATATCTTATGTCATTACACAACGGAATGTTTTACAGAGAAGTGTGCATTCTCATATTTAACATCATCACACAACATGATTTACAGATATGACATATGGTTATTATTTTATAAGGTTTTCTACAACTAAGAGCAAAGATGTAATGCATTTATGAAAGTGTCTTAACATGTAATCAAGTTTTACTAAATTTGTGCAATGAAAGACATGGAAAAGGGTTCATTCACTGTGTATTGCAGGGTTCTGGTTAGGATATTCTAAGTTTGGGTAATCATCTACTAGTACAATTTTCTAAACAAGATATAAACATGACACTGTTGTTTTCAAACAAAATATTATATGAATCGTGAAAACTGCAAATAATGAGGTTAAAACAGTACACATACAAAGCGGAGTTCTACCACATGTTGTTCAAAATTATTTTCTTTTCACCTAAGATGTATGGCTGTAAATGAATAGGAACACATGTGTTGTAATTCATCTAGTATAAAATCAAATATCATCAACATCACAAGAACTAAAAAAAAATACTGTAATGCACTGCCAAATTGAAGTCAATTTTAAACAATATATTACATTACGCTTAACTTTACGATTTTTCTCTTTTATGCATAAAAACCATTCTACAAAAAAGTACAATTTTTGTTATGTAAAGCATTCTTTACTTTACTGAGTGATATTAGAATATTAATTAAATTATAAAGTTAGTAATATATAAAGTAGTTTTATAATTTAGCAAATACTCTAAAATCACACAGTTGTGTATATTAACCGTGTTGTAGCCATAAAGGCGAAACATTTGTTAAAATAATAAAATTATTTTATACATATCTGGAGCATAAAGGTAGGTTTTTCTAAACTTCTTTTCAAAATGTGTAAATCCCTCCAGTATGCACTACAAATTTTGAAAGACAACAAAAAATTTTACTTTCCTGTTCTGCCTCACTGAGCTTTAGGTAAATATGGTGAGGACCCTCCTCCTACTGCGGCCCAGAAGCCAAATTCCTGGTACCACCTGGTTTTCGATTGGAGTTGACCCACCAGATACGGTTTGATGCACCTTAACCACACTTCACATATAACACTCCAGTAAACCTGATACAGATTTTGGACTGTACTTAATATCTTCCACCTGTCCTTGCAACATTTCCCTTCCTTTCTGAGCAAAGAGTGTGCCCTGGTACATGCTCGAGTGTGCCCTTCTACTGTTCCAAGTTATAGGGCAATTCCCAAAGGAGGCTCATCTAGTTAAAATTTTGCACTGGTCCTTCCACCACTTCAATGCAAGATTCTAGCTGGACGTGAGAGGTTACGTATCGTATTGGTAGGTAACATTTTTCCAACACAGTAAATGAATTTCCAATAGATGTTAACCTCTCCTCACACTGTTTCTCAATCTTGAAGTCAATCAGTACAGAGGATGCCAGCTGCACTAGGCTATGTTGCATTCCTGTTGTTGGAGGGTTGTTGCATGCAACAACACAGTAATATTACGCCAAAACACTAGATTAGGTGGGACCATCAAGGCTAGTGGCAAGCAAAACAAGTGTGCATATAGAGGTCAGCACTAAATCAACAAAGCCAGATGTGAGAGGAGGTTACGTCTCATATCAGAAACCGGTCTTCGCACTTCAGGCACAATAAATTAGAATAAAGTATACGTTTTTAATCTTAAACTCTGTACATAAATATGCATCATAATGCAAATGCAATGTTTAACACTTAGAAATGATAAAATATTTACTCACTTATCAGTCACCTGTTGCAACAACATTGTGTACACTTTCCAAGACTTGTTATTCCAAACAATTCAGTACTGTTTTGCATGTTTATAACGATATTGGGTTGCAGTTACTCAACTGCTTTGTAACCAACTAAAAAAGACAAATAATCAAAGCTCATTTTATTTATAAGGCAAAGGTGCACTTAGCCAAAGTAAAAAAAAACTTAGTATTTTTGGATATTTCTCAAGTGCTCTATATTTAATGGCAAACAATATAAAAAATTATAATAACATCAATTTATTTTGTAAAATGAAGCTTTTAATGACTGTAACTTATCTTGTAAAGTATGAAAACTATTAGGGAATGAACAAGAATACTAGAGTAATGCTTGATTTTTACAATGATGAAATCATTCCAGTTATCTTTAAAACATTAGCCGTGTAATGTTGTAAACATATTTTCAGTACCTTTTACATGAAAGAAGAGATTTCCACTATAATAATAGAGTATTTTGGCTTCACCAATGTTGACCATATAGTCCTAACATAACCTAACTAAATCAAACAGTTAAAATAATGTTAATATATTCTATAAATGATCAGCTCAGTCTTGTTATTATTCAGTGACTTCAAATCTTGTCTTTATTTACAGTAATGTGATTGAATGAAACTAAAAACAGGCAAAAAAAATTTTCAATTTTGTAATTAAAATTAAACAGCTATAATTACTTATAATCATGAAAAAAAAGTTATAGCACTGATAAATGGGATGCATGATTTATTTTTAAATTCTTACTTATACAGTCACATTACTTGTATTTTCACTTATTTAAAACATCAAAAATACGAAACAAACTTTTCTCACAAGAATTCTAACTTTTAAACAATAACAAACTGATTCTGTAACATATTATATTAACAAAATTAACTTTTCACAATTTATTCTGCATACTTGAGGTTTTAGCCATTTTGGTAATAGTGTAAAAAAAACAACCTGAACTCTCCAGATAATAATAATAATAATACACTTTTCTGCCAACATTTCACACTTCCAGCATCATTGGGGCTAGGTTTATAAGAACGTAGTATTGGTTCTTGTACTACAACCCCAAGTGAAGCCACAAAAGCAAAAGAGGAGCTAAAAAAATATTTTGTTCTTAACTGGAGGAGTGAAGTTGATTATTTTTTCTCTAACTTTTTCATGAAAATAAATCTCTAAACACATTGCTAGAATGTCTGGAGATAGCCTAGGCACAAAACTATACCACAGCAACACTCAACTGACATTCATATTGTTACATTAGCATAGAAATAATCAGTTATTAGTAGAGCCCTTAACTGAGTTGCTGTAGAATCCAGATATGTTGATTTCTGAGAATCTAAAAAACAAAACTACTTACGGTAATTAATTGCCCAATTAAATGAAAACAAAGACATCAAATGTTGTTTCTGATACTACATATGGTGTCACCAGAGAATTATGTGCAGGGTTTGGAGTTAACTTACATCTGGTAGATTTCTGCTACTAGTTATTTGATGCAGTAGCATTTTACTCATACCTTAATGCTTCATAGCACATTGGTGACCATAAGTCCACCTTTGACCTTACATTTGTTGACTCTCATTCAAAATTTTATTGAACTACTATTTCATGAATTTACGTCAATAAGTTTGGTATCAAACTGTAGATTATAATTCAAATTTTATTATTATATATTACTCAATTTCTTAATTTAAAAACAAATATTAAAAAAACACAGATAAACATCGATTTTTGTGTGTTGAATGCAGCACTGGTTCAAATTGAATGTACG